CTATTTTGGACCAACGGGTTTCAAAAGCTTCAGAATTTATTAAAGCTATGCCACAATTTGGTAAATTTAAAGGGGAGTTACCACCCTTGAATCCGGAATTCATTGAGAGAAATGCACCACAACTACAGTCAAGAGCTGGTGTTTTAAATAGAGATTTGGATACGCCTTCCTTGCCATCATCAGCTTCTTTATACCTTCCTCAAGGTATAACCAGATTGTCCAGAGTTAGGAAATCGTATAAAGATGGCGGGACTAGAAGAAAGAGAGCAGCACATCACACCCCCGAACATATATCTCTACAGGAACAAGAGAGTCGTAGAAATAAATTAGCCAATTCCTCTAATAGTTCAATATTTTGTTTGAAAACTTACCTTAGCATTATTGTGGTTACCTACTTCCTAAAATATTTATAAATTTTTTTAAATGTAAATTATAAGTCGTTATGCAGTTAAATTAATGTTAAGTTTTTTATGTTTTAGTAATTGCGATTCGTTAATTATTCTGTAAATATAATGTTAATACAAAAATTTTATAATTAAATGTTTTTGTAAAACTACTGACTTGGTCATTTAAACTTGTCGAATTTACGGTCTTTCGGACTCATCAGCGCAAATATACTCTGTCACGCCTCGGCTACGCTGGGGCGATGCTCCCGTCACCGCATGGTCACTGCCAATTTTAAATTTAAGATCCTAAATCATAATAGTAGAGTCCACGGCAATTTTAAAGTCTTCTAGAAACGATTTCTGTTTACACTTTGAGGTTAAAAGCTGAAACCCATTTTAAATTATTTTTTACCCTTTGGGACTTCAAAATTCATTGGTCGTCAAAATGTCGTCTTGTACGAGGTGGATGTAGCGGGTGAAACGTATAAATTATGCTTAAAATAATTTCATGTTATTTTAATCTACAGAATACATTTTTGTTAAATTGTTAGTTAAATTTGTAATATTTCTGAAACGAAGGCACAAATCAAAATGTTGTGCTTTTAAGAAGAAAAGTTTACTTTATCCTTTCTGAACAAAACGGTGTAGGATTTACAATGTTATGACTAATAATAATTAAGTTATACAACTAAATGCAATGTGATGCAAACGCCGATAGGCGAAACCCGACCTTATAAGATATCGTGCAAGCGTTCAAAAAAAAAATCAATAACTAATTGCGGCCATCGTAATTAAAAAATAAAATAATGTTTAGAACCCTGAAATTCCATTTTACAAGGCTATTAATAATAGTCCAGTCAAAACAATGTTTAACCTCCTGAAAAATCAGAAAGTTTTGAAACTTCGCATACTTGTTTAAAGGTACCTAAGAATGAATATACCGAAAGTCCTTATGAATATGAGGCGAGCTCTAGGGGCAATTAGCGGAAATAGGGAACTTTCTTTGGTTTTTCGTTAATATCTCGAGAACCGTTGGTCGGAGGCAAAAGTTGATTATATACATAATTAAGGTTTATCAAATTTGCTACTAAAATGATTATATACATTTTTCTCGTATTCCCAATGGTTCCCGAGTTATAGGCGCTAAAAGAAAGCGTTTTGTGAAAAACCACGCTAGGGCGGTAAAATGTGGCATTTCTAATAATATTTGACAATAATAAATTACTAAAGTAAATATAGTACTTACAATGCCTACTCCGACGAGCCGCTACTGCTATCGAGAAAACAGTAGTAACAGTGAAACAGGATGATTTTCTTTCTAACGGAAATAATAAATTGAAACTAATTTCATTCCTCATAATTGCCCTTACCAGCCATGGAGTTCAAACAGAACAAGCATCCAGTGATGCTGACACATTGATCGTCCGGACAGCACTCATGAAATCCTTCACTTGTGACAAAGTAGCAATAGTAGGTGAAGATGTAGATCTTCTTGTTCTCCTCATGGCCGTAACTCCGGCTGAACAAAACATATTATTAGTGAAACCAAGCCATGGCAAAGTAGCAAGGAAAGTATATTCAAGCCAGCAATTGCAAACTTTGGGTATGAAGGACAGCATACTTCTTGTGCATGCATTCAGCGGATGCGATACGACTTCAGCTGCATATCGAAAAGGAAAACTTTCCTGTTTCAAGTTGTTCAAGAAGCAAGCTGTACTGCAAGGTATTGCTGACATATTTAACAGCCCAAGTTCATCCCATGAGGCTGTAGCTGCTGCTGGAAATAAAATATTCCTTGCATTGTACAATGCGCCCAGAAAGCAAACCTCTCTTAACATGCACCGTTACAATGCTTTCACCAAATCTGTATCCAATGCTAAACCCGACCTTTCTGCTCTGCCGCCCACAGAAGGAGCAGCAAGACAGCATGCTTTTCGAGTGTACCACCAAATTCAATTTTGGCTTGGGAATGAACTTCCTCCTGTACAGTGGGGTTGGAAGGTGGAAAGCGATCGGCTAATCCCTGTGACAACAGAGGATCCAGCAGCACCTGAAGCTGTCCTTAACCTCATTTGTTGCACATGTACAACTGGATGTGGGAACAGATGTGGCTGTCGAAAGGCAGGAATATTGTGTACAAGCATTTGTCACAACTACCATGGCGAATGCTTGAATGGTGTTACTTCCAACCTCGAAGAAGACTTTGATGACCCTGATGATCCCGATGTCATAAACCTTGAAGCGGCAGATCATTCAGTGCAAATAACAAACACTGAACATTTGGTACATAAAGGTCAAAGCAATGTGCTTGCTGGAACCAGAAGCCAGGTGAGATTGCACATTTGTATTTTTCTTATTATTCATTTACCTTGCAATAATATACATATAAATCGGTTGTCATGTTCGTATGTTGTTTTACTGGGCGCTTACTACTTTCTTATATTTACTTCTTCTGTTTTATTTATTTCTTATATACTTTCTTTTACTTACATGTTTTTATTTGTATAATGGTTCTCTCACACCTTCATCTCATACATACTTACCTATTGTTTCAGGCAGCAAGTGTAGAAGCTGGCCAAGATAATCAAATTGCAGGGCCTTCTACCAAGAAGCGATTCAGAGCTGATTGATTTTTCTGTACAAAATTTTCCTTGGAATAACCTCAGGATTTTGTTTGTTCATATATTTCATTGTTTAATATACCTACATCATGTGCCTCATCAATATACATCATAAGTAACATACATCATGTGCTTTCTATACAAAGTTGTGAAGTTTATCTTCTCAATTATCCTTAGTATACAAAAATGTAGGTAAACCATGTCAAATATTATTAGAAATGCCATATTGTACCGCCCTAACGTGGTTTTTCACAAAACGCTCTCTTTTAGCGCCTATAACTCGGGAACCATTGGGAATACGAGAGAAATGTATATAATCATTTTTTTAGCAAATTTGATAAGCCTTAATTATGTATATAATCAACTTTTGCCTCCGACCAACGGTTCTCGAGATATTAACGAAAAACCAAAGAAAGTGCCCTATTTTCGCTAATTGCCGCTAGAGCTCGCCTCATATTCATGAGGACTTTCGGTATATTCATTCTTAGGTACCTCTAAATAAGTGTGTGAAGTTTCAAAACTTTCGGATTTTTCAGGAGGTTGGGTCATTTTTTGAGGTTTTTTGACTGGAGTATAAGTATTTTTTTGATAATTAACAGTTAAGTATAGAGGCGTGTTAAACAAAAATTTTGCTTGATCAAGGCGACAAATTTCAGGAGCACGCTTTAAATGTTGTCCTTCTGCATTTAACTGCGTGCTTGTAGAATTGTTTAATTATTTTTTAATGTTTGTATTATTACTTAACAAAAAGATTAAGATTAAAATAACACTAAATTATTTTAATTTTTACGTTTTATCCCCTATAGCCACCCTATATTATTTACAATTTAAAGATAAATCTATAAGTACGGTCCTGCTTATCTTAATTAGCAAACGTGTGTTAGGTCGGCGGATTCTCTGTCGGTGAGATAAGAGAATTTTTTATGTTACAAATAGATGTGAAATAAACTATACATTTTTCTTAACTCTTGCCACGACTGTGGAGATACCAGATGCTGGATGCTGTAATATAATATCACTCCAACTGCAGTGACGCTTACGGTATGAACTCAACAATTTTAAAGCAAACTATGGATATAATTTTGAACCCCTTAACGCTTATTATCAATGCATGTTCCGATTTTTCCTGATGCCTTTAAAAATGCAGTTGTACTGCCAAGATTCAAAAAAGATCATCCTCTGAGTATAGACAACTGCCGTCCTATTTCTATAGTCCCCAACTTGGCTAAAGCTATTGAAATTATATTAAAAGCTAGGCTTTTTGCTTACTTAGATGCATATGCAATTCTAAATTGCAGTCTGTTTGGCTTTCGCAGCAAGTGTTCTACAATTCTTGATGCCCACGGAATAGTTAGTCGTTGGCCTTGAACAAGGTAAGCATGTAGATATCACTTTATGCGATTTCCCCAAGGCTTTCGACTGTGGCTCTCACTCTATTCTGGCGGACCAGTTATATCATTACGGAGTCAAAGGCTTGCCTCTTAGATTATTTCAGTCTTACTTACAAAATAGAAGCTAGTGTCGAGACAACAATACTTGTTCAGAACCTATGTACTTACGCATGGAGTGCCCCAGGGCTCCGTCTTGGACCCACTAATATTCATTATATATGTATATTCCATTTGATGTCCAATATGTGTCACCTATGCAACTGATACATCTTTTTTAGTCCAAGATTCCAATATAAAAAATTTACATCAGCTCTTGGATCAAACTACAATTTGCCAAAAACCAATAAACACTTTTCTGATTGTATTGAAACCATTGACATTAAAAAAAGTTTTAAATTTAAAGAGGTCTCTTATAACAAGGTTAGAGACGCAGTAAACGATCTAAAAAATAGTAAAAGCATCACAGGTAATACAATCCCCTGTATCCCTGAAAGTACCTCAATGTACCTTGTGTGGGAGAGGGTTACACATTTATAGACAATGGACACACACCCAATGTACGAGTGTACTAGGATTAATTTCTGGTTTAGAAAAAATCCTAACTCCTCCACCGGGGATCTAACTCGGGACTCCAGGATGAGAGGCAAGTATCCTTACTACTCGACCACGAAGCAAAGATCCTTATGAAATAAACGCCCGAATCCTAAAAACCTTGAAAAATATAATCGTTCTCTCCCTAATTAATAAATCAATGTTTCAGAAACAGCATTTTTCCAACAGCTCTGAAACTAGCAAAAATTATACACATATTTAAAAAAGGAGACAAGGACGACGCCTCGAATTATAGACCTATTTCGCTATTACCCACTATAGCAAATATTTTCGAAAAAAAATCTTAAAAAAAGCAAGTTTTTCCGAAATCGCTCAAGAATGTCTACATTCTCGGCGCAATTTCAGATCCAAAAATACGCAATTCTAGTATTTTGGTCCGTTGCTAAGTAACCATCATAAAACAGTACAAGATAGTTACTTTTCCGACCTAAGCCGGGAAAGTAACTCGCGGTTTTTTATATAAATTTTAGACATTAAAGAAATACGCAGACAAACCGACATTAAAAGTTTTAGAAAAAAAATACATTAAATTTAAAGTTGCATTTTTTGCAGTTGTTACTAAATGCTACTACTAAACTTAAATGATTTGAATTTAAATAAGTTAGTTGGTATGAGAATTGGCTCCTCTGGATCACCGTAGGTGGCCGACAATTTACGAATAGAGACTGATTAGGCGCTTTTTAACAGTCGTGATAGAAAGATTATGATTTTTATGTTTTCTCCTGTGTGTGTTTTCTGATTTATGAAATAAAGTCGTCTATAGCTAGAAAAAATGTTTATTAAAGCTCCCATAAATGTCCACAATTCTGTTTTTCTAATGAAACTCTTATTTTCCACATTCTGAAAATTTCTTTTTCGATTTATTTGTATTACGAACTAAGCAACTAGCTGTAAATGACTGGACACAATACATTTTTTAAAATTAATTTTTGGACTTGGATTTCCTTTAAATTCAATTTATAGTCGGATTCTAGGGTGAGCGTAGCGCCGACTTTACATCGTGTCGATCTTGATATGAAAAGTGAAGCAACGGGTATCGAGGCCAGTAGTTGTATGGGTAACTAAACCATTGTTGTAGAACCAAAATTCTACAAACAACTTACTTAACTTGAAAAAAAAATGTTACCAAAAAATCACCCAAATCACATAGTCCCTCCGTCATTAGAAACATTAAAAAATGCCCGAGACCGAAATTGCACGTGTTCAAAATATCACTGTCACACTACTTTTTTTAGCCAATTAGATAAAGAATAAAAAACCATCTTCAAAACTTCAAACCGCAATTTTTTACCTCAATTCTCGAATTTTTAAAAGCTGAAATGTAAAATATTCATTAAAAAACCGCTCCGGAGTATAAGCGCGACGACGAGCGCCGCGAATTATATGAGCCATTATGACGACGTAGTGCTAAGTCAGCTTTAGATAATGGAGGCTATATATCCACCCGTCGCCTCCCAGAAGTTTAGTCTAGTTCCAGGTCTCTTCAAATACAGTAAAACTCTGTTCATTTATTTTTCGGTTACTTTTGTGTTTTATTAAATAAATCATTTTTTAAAAACATAACAAACGAACCGATTATCATTATTGGCGCAGTCGGGTCGGATTTTTTGTCAGTTGGTCAGTTCATCGAGAACAATTTCATCGTGAAATTACCAACTTACTTTTCAAAGTTTTAGACGAAAAACGAACATTTTACGTGACCTGCCGTTTTGTTTAGTGTTCTGTGCATTGTGCAACTTTTTGGGACTCCTCTATCGCAGAAGAATTTCAAGAAGACACTGGGCTGAACATAGTAGGCTCATCCACGGGTGAATTGAGTAACCTGTCAGAAGAGGAAGGAACTAGGACTCCGGTAACCATCACCGTAAGGATCGCCGATCATCGAGATCACCAGTCTATCGAAGATACGAGAATTGTTGGATTTTTTCAAGGTAGGACCTTTCAAATCTATCGCAGAAAGTCAGGTCAACAGTCAGATTTTAAGCCGACAATTTTGCGTTCAGACTCTACCGAAGAGACCCTGAACATAATTAAGAATTTAAATTGAAGAATAATAATTAAAATATTTCTCTAAAAATTCCCATCACATTATCCTATAATTTTTATAATTTTAATTTTAATTCTAAGAATTATTTTATTTAACTGCACTATTGTATCGCACAATTAGTTGCTTGTTAAAAACAAAGACCTATTCAAATACCTTATATTTGTATGAACCCTATTGTTATTTTATTTTAACTTGATAATATAATCAATCCATTGAAGTCTGACCTAAATATTGCATTTTGTATACCTGCATACAAAATAATTATATTGCAAATTTCTTATCACATGTATATATTTCTTGGATACTAAGAACCATTTGTTCGCCGTATTATAATATACACATATTATTTAAAAGAATAGTATTGTAACTATTTTTAATTTTTAATAAATTACACACTGTATGTTCGATAGAGCATCGCCTGCTTATTTATAAGTAGTCTCCGATCCCTCGTTGTTTATACAGAGTTGGTGTAAAGTAAAGTAATTTTCCAAGTCACAAAACTATTCTACTTTTATAAAATATAACTTTATTATATATCATTCTTGCGTTAGTAAAACACAAATACAAAAGACAATATTAAAGAAATCGCTTCACCATAGATTCTTTATCAGAATTATTAGAAACATCTTAAAAAATTTCAAAAATGCCTGCAAATCAATCCACTTCCAGTGAAGGCATTTCTCATCCAAATTTTGCCATATTACAAGCTTATGCAAACACAATTAGCAATTATAATGGAAACGAAAATACACTTGAAATTTTTATCACATCTTGTGACCAATTTATAGAACTTTATCGCTCAAATGACAATGTTTTAAATCAATACCTATTAAGAGTTATTTTAGGAAAACTCACAGAAAGAGCTCAAATATTAATAAGCTCAAGATTAGAATTAAGATCCTGGGAACAGATAAAAAATGCTTTAAGATCAAGTTTTGGTGACCATAGAAGCTTAGATTGTCTAGAACAAAATTTATTGACATTGACACCTTTTAAAAATGAACTACCTGTCGAATTTGCGCAAAGAATACAATTAGCTCGCAGTAAAGTCGCTTTTAAAGTTAACAGTTTATCAGAAGCTGAAATGCCCATGGTAACAAAATTAATTTATCTTAAACAATATGATTCATTATCTTTAAAAACTTATTTACGTAACTTACCTGAAAGACTTCAAGATAAAATAAGTTTACAAAAACCAGACTGTCTTGAAACAGCCATGTCATATACAATTGATGATGAAAATTTTAGACGTACCAAAAATTTAACTACTACTTTGCAAAATAAACCTATATTAAATTCAAAAGCACCTTACCCGTATTTACAAATGCCTCAGTATAAACAAACTTTGCCATTCATACCTAAAGCTAATTATAATAATAATTATAAAAATAATTATGGTAGTAATTATAATAATAATTATAACCAAAATCGAAATAATTTTCCTTCGCAATTCCAAAGACAAATGTCGACTAGACCAGTATTTCCTAGTCAACCAATAGCCATACAACCAAGACAAATTAATCGCAAATTTCCTACAAATCAACAAGTTTTCGGAAAACAACAAAATGTTTTTAGACCTAATCAAAATTTAAATCAAAATCAATATGTCCCAGAACCCATGTCAACTCAATCAAGAATACCCACACAAGTTAGTAGGACAAGTCAATTTAATAGACCAAACAATTATTTCCAGCCAAGTGGATCGTCAAATTTCATGCCTAAAGAAATGCATAATTTTACAACTAATAATGACGATGATGTTGATTATTTAAATTATGACAATCAAGGTCAATATCAATATCAATATTCAGATATTGAGGACGTAAACCATTTAGCCTGTCCAGACTCACCATTTGATTATACTGCTAATCATGAACAATTTGACCATGCTATTAATTATGAGCAATTTGACTACACTATTAATGGAGATGAATTTGATTATACTGCTAATCAAAATGACCAAATAAATCATACACAACAAAATCAAAATTTTCACGAGAGCCCGCTTTCGAACAATCAAACTTAGTAGAAATGAATTCAGCTATTGTAAACTCTTTACCATACGTTCAAATATTTAATCCACCAATAAAATTATTAATTGATACAGGAGCTTTCACATCAATACTAAAACCATCTATTGCCGAAATTTATTATCCAGAACTTATTTATCATAACCCCTCTAGTTTAAAAACATCACTAGGTGAAAAAGAAATCAGATATCGAGCAACAATACCTGCTTTTCCTGATTTTTATGGCGATCATCAAATCGAATTTTTACTTTTTGACTTTCATGAATATTTTGATGGAATTTTAGGATTAAATGATTTAATAAAAATGAACCTATCAATTGATATTCCTAATCAAAGATTAATTAATGACGAAATTGAAATACCATTTTATTATAGGCAACCGCACGAAACTTCTTTTACATTTGAAATACCACCTTATGAAACACTAATAAAAAATTATCCAGTTAATATCGATTATGGAGAAATTATAATACCTGAATGTACTATTAACAATGATGAAAATTTATTGTATATCCCCGAAACAGTAACAAACGCGAAAAATGGACGCGCATGTCTTGAAATTTATAATTACAATAATAAAACAGTTTCAATGACTCTACATGAACCTTTAATATGTTACCCTGTTAACAAACATTTCGAAATTTATAATTTTGACATTAATAATTTTGAAATTCCGAATAAAGAACAAAATTCTTTAAAAACAAATATTGGCAACTTAATAAGAACCGATCACATGAACTCCGAAGAACGTTACGAGATTTTAAAAATATGTAATAAATTTAAAGATATATTTTATATCGAAGATACAAAATTAACATTCACAAACCAAATTAAACACGAGATTAAAACAGTAGACGAAATTCCAGTACATACAAAATCATATAGATTCCCACACGTACACAAACCTGAAGTACAAAGACAAATTACTAAAATGTTGAACGACGGAATTATTAGACCATCATCATCCCCTTGGTCCAGTCCTATT